TCCGACCCCGAAAACACCCAGATAACAATTTTGAAGAGAGTCGGATCATAATTATTACAATACTCGTCCGCCATATTGGGTCCGCCATCTTGAATTTCCTAACTTTGTCGAAAGAATCATAATCTCCGACCCCGAGAACCATCAGATACCGAATTTGAATAAAATCGGATCCTACTTACAAAATTCGCCATTTTGTATCCGCCATCTTGAATTTCTTAATATTGACGAAAGAATCATAATCCCCGATCACGAAAACCCCTAGGTACTAATTTCGAAAATAATCGGATCATAATTACAAAACTCGTCCGCCATATTGGTTCCGCCATCTTAAATTTCCAAATTCCGCTAGAATTTTCAAATTCTGACGAAAGAATCATAATCTCCGACCCCGAAAACACACAGATACTAATTTTGAATAGAATCGGACCATAATTACAAAACTCGTCCGATATATTAGATCCGCCATCTTGAATTTCCCAATGGTACCGGGATAAAAAGTATCCTATAACCTTCTCCTAATTCTAAGCTACCTCCCCACCAACTTTCAGCCAAATAGATCCAGGAGTTTCGAAGCCTATTCAATACAAACAAACAAACAAACAAACAAACAAACAAACAAACAATCAAATCTTTCCTTTTTATAATATTAAGTATAGATAGCCCAGTCTATCTTTGTTTATACGCCCATGGAATGGTGTTAAATCACCTTTCAGTCATCGGAGTGGTGTTAAAAAAAATTAGGTGCTTGTGAGTCTTGAAAAGTGTCAAGGTAAAGGGCGATCCAAATTGAGTTTCCCCATGTTGGCATCACTGACAGTGATGCCAACATGGGGAAGACGCAAATTCGAATGACCCTTCGGTTTTGTGAGTGTGACAACATCGAATAGACTTTTTATCGTGCACATCGTACCTTTTCTTGGCCTCCACCAGTCCTCCATGTAGCCTTTAAGTGGGGAAGAAGAACATGAAGATCCTTGTTAGCGTTCAGAATACAACAGATCGTCACATTTACCAAGGCGAACGGTTAGGCTTAGCACGAATTTTTGTGCTCAGCTTATTTCGATATACAGGGTATTTCATAATATATGCGCAGGACTTCAGGATGTGATAGCTCGTCTAGAAATATGAAAAAAAGTTTCCATCAACTTATCCCGAGACTTATCCTCTGGAATGCACCATTATCGAGATACAAGGAGTTGAAAGTTTTGAATAGGAATATTCTCAGATATAATTATGAACACAAAAAAACTGGATATACAGGGTGTTGCGAAATTTATTTGGGTTGAGACGCCTACCTGATTTGCTAGGCAACATATTCAGTTCCTAGGAGCTAGTTAAACTTATGTTTCTAGGAGCTAAATGTAGTATGGAGAGGAATAAATAATCGCTATTATTGTTGTTGATATGCTCACTAACCTAACATTTTCCACGTCTTGTTCCTATAGCTGGCACTGGCACGGTATTTGCCATTAGAACACCTAGTCCATACACAAATATGTCACTCTGTGGTTGTATATACAGGGTGGTCCGTTTTTTAATAAGGAAAATTCAACAGCGTATAGTACTCGTTGAAATAATAAAAAAACTTCCCATGAACATAATATACTTTTAAACGCTTCGTTTTTGAGATATTGGGTGTCAAAAATAAGCTTCTAAATAGATTTTTTCAATCAAAAGTTAGAAACGGTAGATAAATTAACGGAATATTTCTCAGATACAAAACTTTTTGAGCTTTATTAGATTAAATAAAAATTATTCCTAAAAACTGTTCAGTGGCGGCTGAATCTGGGGTGGAGAAAGTAATAATTACACAAATTTTTCGGGAAATTATTTTTCATTTATTTTTCAAGTTTCAATGAAAAAATCTCGCTTAAATAAAGTTAAATAATACTACTTGGTATCAATTAAAGAAGTAGGCTATGCTCAGTTACTCACTGCTCACTGTTTATATTTACTGTCACTCTAAAAGTTCTGTCAAAGAAATAACAAACTGGAGTTATTCCGTGTTTTTATCAAAAAGTGTAATAATTTTATTCCAATTTTGCCGTTTGTCAATATGCCTATGGGATTTAATTTCTAACTTTTGATTAAAAAACTAAATTTATTCTGAAGCGTATTTTTGACACCTTATATCTCCAAAATGGTGCATTGTAGAGAGTAAGTTGATGAAAACTTTTTTCATATTTTTGGACGAGCTATCACATCCTGAAGTCCTGCGCATATATTAGGAAACACCCTGTAGGGATCGCGCATTTCATGATGGGATTGTGAACTAACCAGTTTTTTTTTTAATTTCAACACCCTGTATCTCCAAAATGGTGCATCGTAGAGAGTAAGTTAATAAAAACTTTTTTCATATTTTTGGACGAGCTATCACATCCTGAAGTCCTGCGCATATATTAGGAAACACCCTGTAGAGATCGCGCATTTCATGATGGGATTGTGAACTAACCAGAATTTATAGAGATATTCCTGGACGAATTTTCAAGATAGCAAAATATCCCTATCCTCCCTAGGAACGCACGATGTTCTTTGAACATTATAGGGATTCCCTTTCGTGCGCTCCAAGCGATAAAAAAAAACATCCCGTAATTATCTGTTGGTGACTAGGCAAATCAAGATGTGAATCACTGTAGCCATGTTTCACACTGGTGAATCACTGTAGGAAATATTATCCAGTTAGTTTAGAATACTAGGAGAGCAAAAAATCATGATTTATAATAATTTCTGTTATTTTCAGATAAACTTTGACATCTGGCAACTACAGTGTGTCCACCTTAAGGACTTACTACACCTGTAAAATTGTTATTATCTGACCGATTTCAAAAAACGTTTTTTTGTTGGATAGGTATTTGAAATGTCCATCCAACAAGAGAGTGATTTTACTCATGAACTGTAATCGTGGCCAACTGCGACCAACTTTATCGACCCATATTTGAGAAAGTACAATTAGGGATTTTTTTTCACAAAAAACAATGAAGGATTCTGAATCACGATCCCTCGAAAAATACCTTTACTGATTTTTATCATCATAAAACACAGGGTGTCCGAAAAAACGAATTATGTTTTTTTTTCAATAGGTTATCAGAAAATGTAGTATTGTGATTGGGTATTTTTGAGAAGAATTGATTACACATTATTTTTGAGGATCACTTTGAACATTTCTGTACCGATTTTCATCATTCAAAAATACGATGTGTTTGAGAAAACAATTAAAAAGAAAAAGTAGGCAATATTTTGTCATCAACTCCAAATAAATATTAATTTGATTTTTCGAACACCCTGTGTTTAATGATGATGAAAATCGGTACAGGTATGTTCCAAGTGATCCTGACTTTTTATTTTGAGTGAAGAATTATCAGGATGAAAAATATTGCTTACCTATACTTTTTATTTTTTTTCTCAGACACATTGTATATTCAAATGACGAAAATTGGTACAGGTATATTTGAAATAATCCTCAATGATAATTTGTGAGTATTTCTTTCTAGAAAAACCACAGAACTACATTTGCTGATCACCTATTTGAAGAAAATGATGATTCGTTTTTTTCGGACACCCTGTGTTTTATGATGATGGAAATCGGTACAGGTATATTTCAAGTGGTACTGATTCAGAATCCATCATCAAGTTTCGTGAAAAAAAAATCCCTAATAGTACTTTCTGGAATATGGGTCATTGAAATTTGTCACAGTTGGCCATGATAACAGTCCAAGAATTAGATCACTCTCTCGTTGGATGGGCATTTCAAATACCTATCCAACAAAAAAAGGTTTTTTGAAAGTGGTCGGATAATAACGATTTTACAGGGGTGGTAAGTCCTTGAGGTGGACACACTGTATATGTTCCTCTGACGTCAATATGTTATGAGCGGCGAATTTCGACCATTTTGTGAAGGTCAAGAATGAATAATCATCAATACAAATTTGGAAAAAAATGTCCATTGATGAAAAAAGGAAAAATAGTTGAAAATTCAAATGACAACAAAGAATTAGGGGGAATATTCGCACTTTTTCATGAACTATTTCAAAAAATAATGATTTGCTCACAATTTCATTATCCCATCATTTCTTCTGTGATCAAAAGATGTAAATACATCAAACATTTCCAGAATAACATAATCCTCATAGTAAATGTAAAATCATCAAATGGTCAATTATTATTTCAACAATAAACCTTTTGAAATAAACCTGGAAATTACAAGAAAAAATCAGCTTCAAAGTGAAGCAAGGCAAATGGATATATCTTAAAACAGGTGCTTGAAAACTGTCTATTAGCACTATGAAAATATTCAAAACAGGATTATGTAATATAAGATAACACAGTTTTGAATAAAATCAGGGAGTCAAGAACAAAAAAGCAAGAAACTACTGAAAAAAGCCCAAAATAAAAAAAACCCTTAGAATTGCTCTGCTTCATTTTTCAATAGATATAAAAAATTAAAAATTGGATTGATTCAATACTGTGAATTTTAATTTTTCCAAGATCCTCCATATACTTGAAGCTAAGAAATAAAAAGATTGTCTATCAAGATTTTTTAGCTAATATCTACAGAGCATTCTATTTCCAACTACTAAACCAGGAAACAAAAATATAAGAAGCTAAAATATAAAGAAGTAAACTACAGCTTTCTACATTTGATTAATATGTCTCTGTTACCAGCACAGGTTACCCATTTATTTGAATGTACTTTTTATTTCATTTTTAATTTAAGCATTTACATGTTTTACATGTACATACCAGATTTACATGTTTTTTTCTGTGAAGGTTCTGATGAATTGATAAATAATAAACTGCTACACAAAAGTGTGAGGAACAATGTGAACATTTCCACTGAGTTGCATTTTATATCAATAAAATAACCCAACTGTGGAGCAGTGTATATAAATGTCAAGAAACTCAGACAAGGTTTCAATGAAATACACTATAAGATATTGGAAAAATTGGAAAATTGTAAGTAAAAATTGAAAACACCACAACAATCAAGATAATAAACTCACCATCTCTGACATCATGACCAGTTGTGGTAGTCTGGGTCTGTTTAGTGTAAAGAACCACCTCTTTAGGGGGTATATTAGTAGATTGCACTGGTACCACAGTCAACTGTGGAACCTTTTTCTTCACTGCTATAACACTAAAAATGGAAACAATCAACTAGAATACACAAATCAATACATGTTTGTGTACTCACTTATTGGGTAAACTATTAGGCTGCAAAGAGGTGTCTGGTGTATGATTCCTGCTATGTTCAGGAGTCAGGGAATTAGCACTGGAAATACTGGAAAAGACATCAGATACAGGGGCCACACCAACTTCTCTGAGTAGATCATCCAGTTCTTTTCTGTCACCTCCACCACCCATGATTGTTCGACTGGTTGCCTCTTCAACATCTTTCAATTCTTTTTCACGTCTCCTACGATCTTTTTCCTCCCTGAGAGCCTGCAGTTTGGCCTTTTTGCGCTCCAATTCAGCTCTTCTGTCTGACATGCTTGCTTTTGGTCTATCTAAAATCACATCCATGTTGCACTAGGAACCACTTCTATGTGAATAATTGTGGGGAAAAACAACAAATTGTGACTTGAGAGGGCACTACACATGCGTTTTTAGCTACTGGTAGAAAATCAATGGTTTTGAGTTGAGCAATCATCCTTTCGTGGCATAAGCTAGCCAAGTTATCGGCTGACTACGTTATGTTCAAAAGTGTGAAATGTATTCCTAAACAGCTTCAACTCTGCCAGTTTTGGTGATGTCCAGACACCGTTATTGTCTACCTACCTACAATCTAAATTAGCTACTTACTGCAGTTCCCTACTGTGTATCGATAACGGAAGATATTATGTACTAGATTCGAAATCGAAATTTCGTTGTATTACTACGAAAAACTATTTCGGCTTTTCGAAAAATTAATATTTACACCTCCCGACTGCCATCAACACCATTTTCATTCAGTAGGTTCGATGACGTAATCCGTTTGTCATAACTTGACAAAGGCAATCCGTCAATATTTTTGCCAAAAATATTTTGGGAAATAGATGAATTGAAAATACAACGGTGTAAAAACCTTATTCAAAATCTTAATCAATCAATAACCAATAACAATAACCAATCTTCCATTTCAGAATTAATAATTATTCATTTGCAAAACCTCATCTGGTTAGAGAACCGAGAACCGTGAGCCGGAATCCCAGGTGTCACAAATTTGAAAGTCATTATTCTGGAATTGAAAAAATACCGCAGAGGGAAAATACTTCATAATAATAGATTTCACCGCCTAAACACAATTCCCCATTCGTTATTCTTAATGGAAGTTCAAGTTCAAAGTAGTTCAATAAGGATTATACAATAGCCGATAGCCGTGATCTAGCCACCAAGCACCAAGGCAATCAAAATGTCAAAGCAGCACAGTACCATCTGTTGGCAATACGTTGAAACGTCGATCAGAGGGTAAAGTAGAAAGCTGTAAAATAACATACAGAAATCTGCAATTATGTATCCCATTAAAATGTTAGGTAGGGAGCTGTAAAGATACTACAGATATCTGCAACTATGTCGTTACCCACCATCGTAAATTTATACAGAAATCTGCAGATTTGTCAGTCACTTGGCTGTCAAAGGAGGGTAGAAATCGTGGAAGAAACTAGAAACATAACCTCTAATTTCGGATTCTGTAGTGTTAGTGTAGATATTTTGGTGATTTTGAATTTGCCATTTGATACAGTACACACTAGCGTATTTTGAAGTTTTGAACATTGAAATTATATTCAAATAAATGTTGTAATGATGACAACTAACAGGTACGTTTTATTTGTTATAAGCTTAATCAGTAGTTTTGTCATAGCTATAGAAGCAGAGGCCCATAATAAATATACCAAAGACGCGAATTTACCCACCCAAACTGAAGGGGACAATCATGTAGATTTACGACCCGTATCATTGAAACATCTTGATAGACCCTTCAGAATGTCTAAACTAAATTTACTCTGGTCAAAGGCAGTATTAGTAAGTAATTAAAAAATCTAGAGCTAGAACCTGTTCATGGTTTTCAATTTGTAGAGACTTTCAGAAACCAAACTGAAATCACTATTTGGAGAACTGAAATTGCATGACAAAGAAGAAATAACTTGGAAGCATCTACGTGCTGAAGGCAAAGATAAAGATGGCTTGAAAGAAGCAGAGTTGCGCAAGAAAATGCTAACCATTATGAGCAACTTCAATCTTCTTGATCAGGCAGATGATATTTCTGATCCGGAAAAAACGAGACCCTTCAAACCACTCAATGAAGCTAGTGATAAACATATCAATAAAAGTTTGTTCAAGGATAAGAAGCTGAACAAACTGTGGGAAAAGGCAGAAAGAGCTGGGTTCACTCAGGAAGAGTTGTTGGCTCTCAGTGAAGAGTTTGGACATCATCAAGATAAAATTGATCAGTATTATTCATTATTGCATGATGTAAAAGGGAATCCAGAGGAAAATGCTGAAAGTAAGTTTGGTGTGAATTGTGAAAATACAAATTGGAACTCTTCATTACATATATCTAATTACAACAACCTGTGGATTTATTGTTATTGAAAATTTCAACTTTTTTGATGGATGTGACTCACCATAAATTGAAGGAAGTATTTCTTGGTAATGTGGTTGTGTAAAACATAATATAACTGTTCTTAATTTTGCATGACAATGATTATCAGGTTACTATTAACCTTTACACTGAGAAAGTTGAACTTTGCTTTGAGATATATGTATACAGGGTTTCCCAAAAGAACCAGAACGGCCGAATATTTCAGCAATGGCTGGACATAAAATTATGAAATTTGGTATACGGGGGTAATCAGTTGTGCCGGATCTAATAATAATATTTACAACGTTGCCAGTTTTACAGTTTTTCCCATAGAGCCCTCAACTTTATTTTTTTAAATGTAATGCTATGTTTATTTTTAGTGCATTCGATTCGTCGTCTCAAAACTACTATGACTCTATAATATCGAATTTGTATTCCCGGTTTTTTCTCTCCTTCCGCTACGCGTCGTCGGGAGACAACACAACCTGGAGCTAAAATCTACTACTTTTTTCCCTTGTATAATAAATAACTATAGAATATATCTTGAAGGACTTCCAGGATACTCAGATTAAAATCTACATGAAGAAAAAAATCAATGATATTACATCTAACCAAGGGTGCTATGGTTCATCCACTTTATACTTTATATTAAATAAGCATACGCCACCTATTGGAGTTCATGACAGTTCTCAAAGCGGTCTGTTCACTATTCTTTTCATTGGTTCACGTTTGTTTATTGTTTGTTCTTATTGGTCACATCAAAACAAACCACTCAGAAGTGTTGAAGTTGTTGCCGTCAGGTGGAGCGACGTGTTATTTTTCATGACGAATATTTAACTTTCATTTAATTGATAGATTAGATTATATATGAAATTTATGCTACTCCATGAAAATACCTTAGTTTTAATTCAAAGCTAAATCATAAGCATGTGTTTCAGATCACCAAAGGAACTTATCACTCATTGTCATCCTTCGATATCTAGCTTATCCCAGCGAGCACAAAAACATCTCAGAGATGTTAAAAGTACGAGATTTCGAGACATTGAACTTCCACTGAGATGTTCTGTTCACACATGAATAGAACTATTATAGAACAGCCAATGTCTGCCGCAGTCGGCAATTATCGAGATGTCCTTGATATGTCACAAAACTACCTTCTCCCTAGTTCTTTTTAAAGCCTTTTCATGGACACAACAGAACATTTTCAACGCGTCTTGCGCACATTAAATCGCTGTAAAAAAAAACATTTTCGAGGTACTTTTCTGGATCCTTTTGTCAAAATGAACTTTTGCATTAGGATTCCATTTCCCTTGAATGAAAAAATGCATTAAAAATAGATTGAACATAAAAATATTTTCTTGATATGAAATTACCTTCTTAATCGGTTCCTGAGTAGTGCTTACTACACACAGACATATAATTGGAAATAGGTTTCCCAATTTTTGAAATGTTCTCCACAATGCATAATTTTGCAACTGCGGAGAAGCTGTGTATTGATAAATTCGTACTTTTATATATTGATTACACTGAGGCACCGAACAACACATCTTGCATCTGATGGTCATTATTACAAACTAAATAAGTCTTCTAACACAATAAACTTCACCAAATTCCTTTCTGTTCGTTAGCAGCATGATGTGAGCGTGACACGCTGGAAACGCGATTGCCAATTACGAACAAGAAGAACAAAATCGAAAACAAATCATAATTCATCGTATTGTGACGTAAGCATGAGACGTTGTGGTGGGGCAAACAAAGAAAGGGCACAAAAGAACAAAAACAATACTTCCAATATCCTTCTAAGACCTCTTTGGGAAGTGCATATTACGCCTCAAAAAAACATCCTCATGCATACTTTTCTAAAACATCCCAAAATATCTCAGGGATACCTCTCAGTAGGCAAACAAAGAAATGCCACAGAAGAACAAAAATAATACTTCAATATCCTTCAAAGACCTCTTTGGTCAGTGCATATCACGTCTCAAAATAACATCTTCATGCCAACATTTTCAAAACATCCCAGGGATGTTTGTGCTCGCTGCGATGTAACTTCTTACTCATGTATCTGCATTGACAAAGTCTCAGTCATAAACTAGAACTTTTCAACATTCTCTTCCTATTATTCTGACTGAAATAATACAAATTTTTAGATTCTATAGACGATTCTCTCGATAAATACAACAAAATAGAATTCATTGAAGAGCAAGAACCAAACAAAGACTACCTAGACAAAGCCAATTTAATACGTGAAAAATACAAGGACATTAAAGACGGTTTTGATCACTTACACCTTCTTGCTGCCAAAGGTCCTGCCAGTAGAGAATTCGTGGAACCAAAAGTACAGGGTAGGTGAAAAACGATTCCACACTATTCTCAACTGGGTCGAATATTGAATTTATTAATTATTCCAAAGGTTTATGGAGAATAGCGATTGAAAGCAATTTCACTCCAAGTGAATTGCATTCGTTGAAAACAGAGTTGCTGCACTACGAAAATCGGTTGCTGAAGTTACGTCACTTGCAAGTTGAGCATGCTTTGCACGAAGAAAAGTACAAGGACAAGCCGAAAATGACCATAGCTGGTGGTAAAACGAATGCTGCTTCCCTTATGGAAGATAGCATTAAGAAGCATGCCAGGAAAGTTGAAAAGCTTCATCTGGATATTGAGACTAGGATTATGCAAAAGCATATAGAGCTTTAATGATTTGAAGCAGCTATAAATAAGGATTATTCTCTCAAAGCCAAATTCTCAATATTGTAGATTGTTTTAATGAGTTGTGCATGTCATTTGAAGTTTATGTATGTTGTGGAATTAATTTTATAGTTTTGTATTTACTAATTTAAAAAATATATATTATTGACGATGTATATGGCGTGTTTATTTTTGACTACACTGAATCCCTCTGAAAAAAGGTAGATATACGCCTCTGGAATCGAAATAACTCTTTTATCGGTAACAGTTGAAGAAATTTCGACCTATTTTTTTTCCTGATCCCCTTAGGGAAAAATAAGCAGAACACTGAAGTTGGGATTTCGATATTCTGTCGAGAAATTGTCATGGGTATTCCGACATTTTTTAATATTGACTGCTTCGATAAACGAACGCTCTGAGGCCGCAATTTATATTTTTTTATGAAATTTTGGAATTCTAACCACTTAGAAAGAAATTGGCACCTACGTCCGAAATTTAGATCTTCCATCTATATGATTTCTAATATTTCTGGAATGTAGCAGTGTTACGTCACGACGTCCTCAGAAAATAATTGGACACGCGCCCATGTATTCCCCCTTTGGTATACAGTGTGTCCCACTTACCATGCTCACCATGGGTATCTTTTTAACGGTGAGAGATACGAGGTCGGTTAAATGACACCAAATGTGGAGTTTGTCAAGGCCTCCGATTAACTTGAGATTTGGCAGGTGTTCGTAATTTCGGTGACAATACATTATGGGATTTTTGTTGAAATTAAAAAAAATGGCTGCTCCAAGATGGCGGACAAGATTTGGTCCGATTCTATTCAAAATTGGTAAGTGGGGGTTTTAGAGGTCGGAGATCATGATTTTTTTGTTAAAATTTATAAATTCAAGATGGCGGCTTCCAAATAATTTTTTGTTTTTGTATAAATGACGATAACTCCGTTGTTATCAACACGAAACTATTACTGCGACATATCATCTGTAAGAGAAAAAAAAAGTTATTTGTAACTAAGTCATAGTGAGCTACGACCTACATTTGAAAAACTAAAGTTGTGCTGATATCTCAAATTCTAGAAGAGTTGGTATAAATTTCATATTTTTTTCGAAATCACTTTGAAAAACTGCCATGACAATGTGAAATTCCTATTTGAATATTTTCATAAATAAAGAAGTTACGGAGGAGACATGAAAATGATCAAAATCTGTTTTCTGCGTATAAAACAAAAACGAATAGATTCTATCAAAATATTTTTTCACATTATAGTTGGCCTTGACAAACTCCACATTTGGTGTCATTTAACCGACCTCGTATCTCTCACCGTTAAAAAGATACCCATGGTGAATGAGCATGGTAAGTGGGACACACTGTATATTTATACTCATAAAATTATATAATGAATAAAACACAGTGTGGTAAGTTGGGGGGAGGGGGAGTTGAAATATACCTAAGAATATTTATAAAAGCTTTAATAATTTAAAATATATGGGATATTTTTCCACAAACAGATTAATATTTACACCATGATCTCTAATTTTCTAGTTTGACATTTTCAGTGTCCAAAACCACATTGCTTTTGTCAATGCCACTCAGGTCTTCAATTATTTTAAATGTTGTCCTTTTCAAATATCTCGCTACTGTGTTCTGCACTTCAGCATATGAGTAAGTCTTATCTCTATCAAGATTTTCCAGTATGGAAGTGTACATTTCATTCATATTAGTTTTGATGGTATTTGACCTAAGACCTACAGTTTCTTCAGTTTTTTGCTTCTCTATTCTAACTTCATGCTCCTCAGATGCCCTTAATTTTTCTTTTAGCTCATCAATAATTTTATTCAAAGAGTCAATGGTAGCTTGTTGATTTTCGCTGCCAACATTGAGCTCTTTCAACTTTTGCAACTCATGTTTCTGATCCTCAATTTGCTTATTTTTGACATCAATACAACGTTCACAATGCTCCAATGATTTCTTCATTGCCTCAAAACCCTCAAGCTGCTTTTCTAGTTCAAATAATTGCCTCCTCAACACAGATAATTCTTCCTCTAGCTTCTCACTTTTATCATTGTCTTTCCTGCCCAAATCCTCATATTTAATTTCCAGGCGCATATATTTTTTCTCATAGTCCTTCAAATATGCCTCTAAATTTTCTAGTTTCAGTTGCAGGGCCTTGATTTTTGATTGGGCCATTGTGTCTGGTGGTGTTGATGGTGTTTTTGAGTTGCCCATGAAGAAGGAATCTAATTTTGCTGTCATTTGAGCAAGATGCATTTTGAGTTCTGTATTTTGCGAGAGAATATAGTGGCTGAGGATATCAGAGTTCACAGATGGTGTGAAAGCACTTGGGGTGTTTTCAACTGAGAAATCACTGACAGGCACTATTTGTTTTTCTATGTCTGGCGATTTTTTTGGTAATATTCTCTCAGGCATAGTATGTTTTAGCTTTCTAGTGAATTTCCGTTCATTTTTATCCTCTTCTGGTTCAGTATCGGAAATATCAGTACTAGTATTTCTAACTGAATTTCTAGGTAGAATTTGTTGTCCCATTCTGGCCATTCTATTAAGAATATTAGATCTTTTAAGAGACCCAGAACTGTCAGAATGATCATCTGTTTTGGTCTCTGCAATTTTGGTTTGCTTTGGAAGAAGATCAGGCTTTGCTGATGGTTCATTGATTTTTTCTGAATCTTGATCTATGCTTGGGACTGTTTGAGCACCACATTTTTCAATCACATTACTAAATTCTTTTTGATCTTCATTATCGAATTTTATTAACCAGTTATTTGAATCATTGTCATAGAAAGAACTGAAATTGTCTTTTTGTATATGAAACTGGAAATCACTAGTCAGCTTTGTTTTTAATATCACATTATTTTTTTCTTTGTATGCTATAATTTCATGTATTTTCAAATCTTCAGAACCTATGATTGCTAAACCATGTTTACCTAAGGCTTTATACTCCTTATTTTCACTGAAAATTAAATTAATTTTCAAGTAATAACAGTCATCATTTTGCCTTTAACATCCATATTTTTTGGAAATGTTCACTGGTACTCATATGAAAAGCAATATTGATATGATGATTAACATTTGTTATAACATTTGCTGGAAACTGGATTTGATTAAAAATCTTCTAATTTTGTCTGATTTCCATAGGTCAAACATGTAATTGAAGTATATGTATTTTTAAAATGTTGAGTGATAGAAAAATAAGGACAAACAGTTATTCCTATGTAGAAATTGAAATTTTGAAGTTGTTCATCATGGAATATCTGGATTGAATCAATGCTTAAAATACTCAAAGCACATACAGCATGTCTCACTTCAAACAGCCCCCCTTTCTAAATTTCAGCTATTAGTTGTTTAATTCTAACCAAATTTGGAAGGGTATGAATCACCATCAATATGATCAGTTTTTTTCAGACAAAGATCGTTTTGGACAGTGCCGTGCATTTTTATTATAATGAAAAGGGGTAAATTGTTGATGGAATTATATTAGGCATTTTTTTCAGGAAAACTGACCTCATAATATTGATCTTCATGGTTTCATACCCCCAATTGAACATCATATTGATATCTTGATTGATATCCATAAAGAGTTTGAAAAAAAAGGCACATCCAACCAGAATTTTTGCATAAATTCTTATTTACTGGGAAATCATGAATTCAACAAAAAAAGTACAGCTTGTTTTTTCTTCAAAACCATGATTTTTCATCTACTGGTATGTGCCAAAATTTGTATTTAATTCGAATTCACTATTTTTTTATGCAGAAAATGAAGCCAATCCAGTTAATTCATAAGGTGATTATTGCATACCGTGGTTTGAATGCTTGAGGAACAATAATATGAAGTTAGTTTTCTTGCAAAAAAGTATCTAATATAAGGCTAATATGATGATTTCGTGAAAAATCGACCCCAATTTATTTCAAAATGCATGGCAGTGTCCAAAGGAATGTTCATCTCTGAGAAACTGATCATAATGATGGTTTTTATTTGATACTGGTCAAAATTTCCTAGGAATCACATGACTAATAACTGAGATATAGAGGAGGGGCCATTCAATGAGAGACATGCTGTATACAAGTAAGTGAAAAAATTGGAGAACAGTACCAAATCCATAAGTTCGAAATAAGGAATCAGGCTCTGATTAATCACAAATACTTACAGTTTCCACAATGTAACAACTTTGGCCAGTACTACTCTGGTCTGAGGCTTTGGTTTTGTCTTCAATGATTCATTTTCCTTTGAATTTGAGGGGCTTGGCTGTTTGGGGGCGGTGTATTTCAGACTGCTGTTGAAACTACTATCAGATAATGCAGAAGTTCCAAAGAGTGAGGCCAATTTGGAACTGAAATCGTAGATAAACATATTCTGATTTCATGTTTCTTCTTTGCCGAACAACTGAACAAACCTTTCAGCTGGACTGAAGTCGTAATCATCTGAATTTTCAAACATTGCTTCGAAAACAACACAAATTTGCATACATAAAATAACAAAGCTTGAGAAACGTCAGAAACTTGAATCATAAGTCATAACCTAACAATCTCGTCTTCCTTTTTCATGTGTGTCACGGAACTACGGGACATTACCTTCTGAGTTCTGACCGTCACTTGAAGGTCACTTGAAGGTTCAACTTGAAGTTTGAACTTGAAGGTTGAACTTGAAGTTTGAACTTGAAGGTTGAACTTGAAGGTTGAACTTGAAGTTTGAATTTGAAGTTTGAACTTGAAGGTTGAACTTGAAGTTTGAACTTGGAGTTTGAACTTGAAGGTTGAACTTGAAGGTTCAACTTGAAGTTTGAACTTGAAGGTTGAACTTGAAGTTTGAACTTGAAGTTTGAACTTGAAGGTTGAACTTGAAGTTTGAACTTGAAGGTTGAACTTGAAGGTTTAACTTGAAGTTTGAACTTGAAGGTTGAACTTGAAGGTTGAACTTGGAGGTTCAACTTGAAGATTGAACTTGAAGTTTGAACTTGAAGGTTGAACTTGAAGGTTCAACTTGAAGATTGAACTTGAAGATTGAACTTGAAGTTTGAACTTGAAGGTTCAACTTGAAGTTTGAACTTGAAGGTTGAACTTGAAGGTTTAACTTGGAGTTTGAACTTGAAGGTTAAACTTGAAGTTTGAACTTGAAGGTGGAACTTGAAGGTTCAACTTGAAGTTTCAACTTGAAGGTTGAACTTGAAGGTTCAACTTGAAGTTTGAACTTGAAGGTTGAACTTGAAGGTTCAACTTGAAGTTTGAACTTGAAGTTTGAACTTGAAGTTTGAACTTGAAGTTTGAACTTGAAGGTTGAACTTGAAGTTTGAACTTGAAGGTTGAACTTGAAGGTTTAACTTGGAGTTTGAACTTGAAGGTTCAACTTGAAGTTTGAACTTGAAGGTTGAACTTGAAGGTTTAACTTGAAGTTTGAACTTGAAGGTTAAACTTGAAGTTTGAACTTGAAGGTTGAACTTGAAGGTTCAACTTGAAGTTTGAACTTGAAGTTTGAACTTGAAGTTTGAACTTGAAGGTTGAACTTGAAGGTTGAACTTGAAATTTGAACTTGAAGGTTGAACTTGAAGGTTCAACTTGAAGGTTGAACTTGAAGGTTCAACTTGAAGTTTGAACTTGAAGTTTGAACTTGAAGGTTGAACTTGAAGTTTGAACTTGAAGGTTGAACTTGATGGTTCAACTTGAAGTTTGAACTTGAAGGTTGAACTTGAAGGTTCAACTTGAAGTTTGAACAGTGAAGGTTGAACTTGAAGTTTGAACTTGAAGTTTGAACTTGAAGGCTGAACTCGAAGTTTGAACTTGAAGGTTGAACTTGAAGGTTCAACTTGAAGTTTGAACTTGAAGGTTCAACTTGAAGTTTGAACTTGAAGGTTGAACTTGAAGTTTGAACTTGAAGGTTGAACTTGAAGTTTGAACTTGAAGATTGAACCTGAAGTTTGAACTTGAAGGTTGAACTTGAAGTTTGAACTTGAAGTTTGAACTTGAAGGTTGAACTTGAAGTTTGAACTTGAAGGTTGAATTCGAAGGTTCAACTTGAAGTTTGAACTCGAAGGTTGAACTTGAAGGTTGAACTTGAAGTTTGAACTTGAAGGTTCAACTTGAAGTTTGAACTTGAAACTTGAACTTGAAGTTTGAACTTGAAGGTTGAACTTGAAGGTTCAACTTGAAGTTTGAACTTGAATGTTCAACTTGAAGTTTGAACTTGAAGTTTGAACTTGAAGTTTGAACTTGAAGGTTGAACTTGAAGTTTGAACTTGAAGGTTGAACTTGATGGTTCAACTTGAAGTTTGAACTTGAAGGTTGAACTTGAAGGTTCAACTTGAAGTTTGAACAGTGAAGGTTGAACTTGAAGTTTGAACTTGAAGTTTGAACTTGAAGGCTGAACTCGAAGTTTGAACTTGAAGGTTGAACTTGAAGGTTCAACTTGAAGTTTGAACTTGAAGGTTCAACTTGAAGTTTGAACTTGAAGGTTGAACTTGAAGTTTGAACTTGAAGGTTGAACTTGAAGTTTGAACTTGAAGATTGAACCTGAAGTTTGAACTTGAAGGTTGAACTTGAAGTTTGAACTTGAAGGTTGAACTTGAAGTTTGAACTTGAAGGTTGAATTCGAAGGTTCAACTTGAAGTTTGAACTTGAAGGTTGAACTTGAAGGTTGAACTTGAAGGTTGAACTTGAAGTTTGAACTTGAAGGTTCAACTTGAAGTTTGAACTTGAAACTTGAACTTGAAGTTTGAACTTGAAGGTTGAACTTGAAGGTTCAACTTGAAGTTTGAACTTGAATGTTCAACTTGAAGTTTGAACTTGAAGTTTGAACTTGAAGGTTGAACTTGAAGGTTGAACTTGAAGTTTGAACTTGAAGGTTGAACTTGAAGGTTTAACTTGAAGTTTGAACTTGAAGGTTGAACTTGAAGTTTGAACTTGAAGTTTGAACTTGAAGGTTGAACTTGAAGTTTGAACTTGAAGGTTGAACTTGAAGGTTCAACTTGAAGTTTGAACTTGAAGGTTCAACTTGAAGGTTGAACTTGAAGGTTGAACTTGAAGGTTGAACTTGAAGGTTGAACTTGAAGGTTGAACTTGAAGGTTCAACTTGAAGTTTGAACTTGAAGTTTAAACTTGAAGGTTGAACTTGAAGTTTGAACTTGAAGGTTGAACTTGAAGGTTCAACTTGAAGTTTGAACTTGAAGGTTCAACTTGAAGGTTCAACTTGAAGTTTGAACTTGAAGGTTGAACTTGAAGTTTGAACTTGAAGTTTGAACTTGAAGATTGAACTTGAAGGTTCAACTTGAAGTTTGAACTTGAAGGTTGAACTTGAAGGTTTAACTTGAAGTTTGAACTTGAAGGTTGAACTTGAAGGTTGAACTTGAAGTTTGAATTTGAAGTTTGAACTTGAAGGTTGAACTTGAAGTTTGAACTTGGAGTTTGAACTTGAAGGTTGAACTTGAAGGTTCAACTTGAAGTTTGAACTTGAAGGTTGAACTTAAAGTTTGAACTTGAAGTTTGAACATGAAGGTTGAACTTGAAGTTTGAACTTGAAGGTTGAACTTGAAGGTTTAACTTGAAGTTTGAACTTGAAGGTTGAACTTGAAGTTTGAACTTGAAGTTTGAACTTGGAGGTTGAACTTGAAGTTTGAACTTGAAGTTTGAACTTGAAGGTTGAACTTGAAGGTTGAACTTGAAGTTTGAACTTGAAAGTTGAACTTGAAGTTTGAACTTGAAGGTTGAACTTGAAGGTTCAACTTGGAGGTTGAACTTGAAGGTTCGACTTGAAGTTTGAACTTGAAGTTTGAACTTGAAGGTTGAACTTGAAGTTTGAACTTGAAGGTTGAACTTGATGGTTCAACTTGAAGTTAGAACTTGAAGGTTGAACTTGAAGGTTCAACTTGAAGTTTGAACTTGAAGGTTGAACTTGAAGTTTGAACTTGAAGTTTGAACTTGAAGGTTGAACTTGAAGTTTGAACTTGAAGGTTGAACTTGAAGGTTCAACTTGAAGTTTGAACTTGAAGGTTGAACTTGAAGGTTGAACTTGGAGTTTGAACTTGGAGGTTGAAGTTGGAGGTTGAACTTGAAGGTTCAACTTGAAGTTTGAACTTGAAGGTTGAACTTGAAGTTTGAACTTGAAGTTTGATCTTGAAGGTTGAACTTGAAGTTTGAACTTGAAGGTTGAACTTGAAGGTTTAACTCGAAGTTTGAACTTGAAGGTTGAACTTGAAGGTTGAACTTGGAGGTTCAACTTGAAGATTGAACTTGAAGTTTGAACTTGAAGGTTGAACTTGAAGGTTCAACTTGAAGATTGAACTTGAAGGTTGAACTTGAAGTTTGAACTTGAAGGTTCAACTTGAAGTTTGAACTTGAAGGTTGAACTTGAAGGTTTAACTTGGAGTTTGAACTTGAAGGTTAAACTTGAAGTTTGAACTTGAAGGTGGAACTTGAAGGTTCAACTTGAAGTTTCAACTTGAAGGTTGAACTTGAAGGTTCAACTTGAAGTTTGAACTTGAAGGTTGAACTTGAAGGTTCAACTTGAAGTTTGAACTTGAAGTTTGAACTTGAAGTTTGAACTTGAAGTTTGAACTTGAAGGTTGAACTTGAAGTTTGAACTTGAAGGTTGAACTTGAAGGTTTAACTTGGAGTTTGAACTTGAAGGTTGAACTTGAAGTTTGAACTTGAAGTTTGAACTTGAAGGTTGAACTTGAAGTTTGAACTTGAAGGTTGAACTTGAAGTTTGAACTTGAAGTTTGAACTTGAATGTTCAACTTGAAGGTTGAACTTGAAGTTTGAACTTGAAGGTTGAACTTGAAGGTTGAACTTGAAATTTGAACTTGAAGGTTGAACTTGAAGGTTCAACTTGAAGGTTGAACTTGAAGGTTCAACTTGAAGTTTGAACTTGAAGTTTGAACTTGAAGGTTGAACTTGAAGTTTGAACTTGAAGGTTGAACTTGATGGTTCAACTTGAAGTTTGAACTTGAAGGTTGAACTTGAAGGTTCGACTTGAAGTTTGAACAGTGAAGGTTGAACTTGAAGTTTGAACTTGAAGTTTGAACTTGAAGGCTGAACTCGAAGTTTGAACTTGAAGGTTGAACTTGAAGGTTCAACTTGAAGTTTGAACTTGAAGGTTCAACTTGAAGTTTGAACTTGAAGGTTGAACTTGAAGTTTGAACTTGAAGGTTGAACTTGAAGTTTGAACTTGAAGATTGAACCTGAAGTTTGAACTTGAAGGTTGAACTTGAAGTTTGAACTTGAAGGTTGAACTTGAAGTTTGAACTTGAAGGTTCAACTTGAAGGTTCAACTTGAAGTTTGAACTTGAAGGTTGAACTTGAAGTTTGAACTTGAAGTTTGAACTTGAAGATTGAACTTGAAGGTTCAACTTGAAGTTTGAACTTGAAGGTTGAACTTGAAGGTTAAACTTGAAGTTTGAACTTGAAGGTGGAACTTGAAGGTTCAACTTGAAGTTTCAACTTGAAGGTTGAACTTGAAGGTTCAACTTGAAGTTTGAACTTGAAGGTTGAACTTGAAGGTTCAACTTGAAGTTTGAACTTGAAGTTTGAACTTGAAGTTTGAACTTGAAGTTTGAACTTGAAGGTTGAACTTGAAGTTTGAACTTGAAGGTTGAACTTGAAGGTTTAACTTGGAGTTTGAACTTGAAGGTTGAACTTGAAATTTGAACTTGAAGTTTGAACTTGAAGGTTGAACTTGAAGTTTGAACTTGAAGTTTGAACTTGAAGGTTGAACTTGAAGTTTGAACTTGAAGTTTGAACTTGAATGTTCAACTTGAAGGTTGAACTTGAAGTTTGAACTTGAAGGTTGAACTTGAAGGTTGAACTTGAAATTTGAACTTGAAGGTTGAACTTGAAGGTTCAACTTGAAGGTTGAACTTGAAGGTTCAACTTGAAGTTTGAACTTGAAGTTTGAACTTGAAGGTTGAACTTGAAGTTTGAACTTGAAGGTTGAACTTGATGGTTCAACTTGAAGTTTGAACTTGAAGGTTGAACTTGAAGGTTCGACTTGAAGTTTGAACAGTGAAGGTTGAACTTGAAGTTTGAACTTGAAGTTTGAACTTGAAGGCTGAACTCGAAGTTTGAACTTGAAGGTTGAACTTGAAGGTTCAACTTGAAGTTTGAACTTGAAGGTTCAACTTGAAGTTTGAACTTGAAGGTTGAACTTGAAGTTTGAACTTGAAGGTTGAACTTGAAGTTTGAACTTGAAGATTGAACCTGAAGTTTGAACTTGAAGGTTGAACTTGAAGTTTGAACTTGAAGGTTGAACTTGAAGTTTGAACTTGAAGGTTGAATTCGAAGGTTCAACTTGAAGTTTGAACTTGAAGGTTGAACTTGAAGGTTGAACTTGAAGTTTGAACTTGAAGGTTCAACTTGAAGTTTGAACTTGAAACTTGAACTTGAAGTTTGAACTTGAAGGTTGAACTTGAAGGTTCAACTTGAAGTTTGAACTTGAATGTTCAACTTGAAGTTTGAACTTGAAGTTTGAACTTGAAGTTTGAACTTGAATGTTCAACTTGAAGTTTGAACTTGAAGTTTGAACTTGAAGTTTGAACTTGAAGGTTGAACTTGAAGTTTGAACTTGAAGGTTGAACTTGAAGGTTTAACTTGAAGTTTGAACTTGAAGGTTGAACTTGAAGTTTGAACTTGAAGTTTGAACTTGAAGGTTGAACTTGAAGTTTGAACTTGAAGGTTGAACTTGAAGGTTCAACTTGAAGTTTGAACTTGAAGGTTCAACTTGAAGGTTGAACTTGAAGGTTGAACTTGAAGGTTGAACTTGAAGGTTGAACTTGAAGGTTCAACTTGAAGTTTGAACTTGAAGTTTAAACTTGAAGGTTCAACTTGAAGTTTGAACTTGAAGGTTCAACTTGAAGGTTCAACTTGAAGTTTGAACTTGAAGGTTGAACTTGAAGTTTGAACTTGAAGTTTGAACTTGAAGATTGAACTTGAAGGTTCAACTTGAAGTTTGAACTTGAAGGTTGAACTTGAAGGTTTAACTTGAAGTTTGAACTTGAAGGTTGAACTTGAAGTTTGAATTTGAAGTTTGAACTTGAAGGTTGAACTTGAAGTTTGAACTTGGAGTTTGAACTTGAAGGTTGAACTTGAAGGTTCAACTTGAAGTTTGAACTTGAAGGTTGAACTTAAAGTTTGAACTTGAAGTTTGAACATGAAGGTTGAACTTGAAGTTTGAACTTGAAGGTTGAACTTGAAGGTTTAACTTGAAGTTTGAACTTGAAGGTTGAACTTGAAGTTTGAACTTGAAGTTTGAACTTGAAGGTTGAACTTGAAGTTTGAACTTGAAGTTTGAACTTGAAGGTTGAACTTGAAGTTTGAACTTGAATGTTCAACTTGAAGTTTGAACTTGAAGTTTGAACTTGAAGGTTGAACTTGAAGTTTGAACTTGAAGGTTGAACTTGAAGGTTCAACTTGGAGGTTGAACTTGAAGGTTCAACTTGAAGTTTGAACTTGAAGTTTGAACTTGAAGGTTGAACTTGAAGTTTGAACTTGAAGGTTGAACTTGATGGTTCAACTTGAAGTTAGAACTTGAAGGTTGAACTTGAAGGTTCAACTTGAAGTTTGAACTTGAAGGTTGAACTTGAAGTTTGAACTTGAAGTTTGAACTTGAAGGTTGAACTTGAAGTTTGAACTTGAAGGTTGAACTTGAAGGTTCAACTTGAAGTTTGAACTTGAAGGTTCAACTTGAAGTTTGAACTTGAAGGTTGAACTTGAAGGTTGAACTTGAAGTTTGAACTTGAAGTTTGAACTTGAAGGTTGAACTTGAAGTTTGAACTTGAAGTTTGAACTTGAAGG